ATCCATTTCCATCGTCTTTTCCTAATTTCTTCTTCAGCTGGAAGCTGGTTTGTCCTCTCGCACAGAAGGCTGTTGCTGATGGTATCCGGACAATGGATGTTGAGTATCTTACGTAGACAACCATTTATAAATACTTGTACCTTCTTGATGGTGGTTGTAGCAGTTCTCCAAGTTTCTGCTCCGGACAGTAGAACTGCCTTGACGTTCCTATCGAAGAATCTGACTTTGACATTGTTCGAAAGTTGTTTTGGGTTCCATATGCCCTTCAACTGTAATAGTGCGGCACTTGCTTTGCTAATCCTCACCTTTACATCTGCATCTGGACCTCCGTGTTCATCGAGTATGCTTCCCAGGTATGTGAAGGATTCTACATCTTCCAGAGTTTTGCCACCAAGTGTGATTGGATTGCTGTTCTCCGTGTTGTATTTGAGGACTTTGGTTTTCCCCTTGTGTATGTTGAGGCCTGCTGATGCAGAGACTGATGCTAAACTAGCTGTCATGATCTGCATTTGTTCATGTGTATGCGATAGGAGGGCCAGGTCATCTGCGAATTCCAAATCGTCTAATTGGTTCTGAGCTGTCCATTGTATTCCGTATTTTCCCTGAGATGTCGAGGTCTTCATAATCCAGTCGACCACCAGAAGAAAGAGGAAGGGAAAGAGTAAACAGCCTTGTCTGACTCCGGTCCTTACTTGGCATGCATCTGTCAGCTGTCCTCCATGCACGACCTTGCACTGTAGTCTGTCGCATGAGTTCCGGATAATCTTGACAATCTTTTCAGGAACTCCGTAGTGCCGAAGAAGTTTCCATAACGTTCTTCTATCTACACTGTCGAATGCCTTTTCATAATCAATGAAGTTTGTGTACAGTGACGAGTTGCACTCAATTGATTGTTCGACGATGATCCGTAGTGCCGCGATTTGGTCTGTGCACGACCGATCGTTACGGAATCCAGATTGTTGATATCGAAGTTGGGCGTCTACTGCATCCTTCATCCGGTCCAGCAACACTCTGTTAAAGACCTTCCCTGGTACTGACAGTAGTGTAATGTCTCTGTAGTTTCCACATTTGCTCAGATCTCCTTTCTTTGGAATCTTGATGAGGTACCCTTCTTTCCAGTCCATAGGCACTTGTTCCTCCTCCCAAATCTTCTTCAATAGAAGGTGAAGCGTGTTTGTAGTTACTTCGATGTCTGACTTCAGCTAGTATGTCGCCAGGTGCTGCTGCTTTCCTTCTCTCGATTTTTCTAATGGCCATCCTCATTTCTTCGGTCGTTGGTGGAATGACATCTATAGGAAGATCTATGTGTGCTGCTTCGATGTCCGGTGGATCCATTGGAGCCGGCCTATTCAGGAGTCCCTCGAAGTATTCTACCCATCTGTTCCGCTATTCTTGAGTTTCAGTGATTGGCCTGCCTTCTTTGTCCTTGACCGGTCTCTCTGGTTTACTATATTTCCCTGCTAGTTTCTTCGTTGTATTGTAAAGTTGTTTCATATTTCCTTCTCTTGCAGCTTTTTCCACTGTCGTTGCTAGTTCTTCCACGTATTTCTTCTTGTCGGCTCTAATGCTCTTCTTCACTTGTTTGTTTGCTTCTATGTATCCAGATTGTGCTTGGACTTTCTCTGTTCGTGTTCGCCTATTGTTTATTGCTGCCTTCTTGTTCTTCCTTTCTTTGATCTTGTCCAGGGTTTCTGTAGAGATCCATTCCTTATGATGGTATTTCTTTAGACCGAGAACCTCTTGACACGTTGAAGTTAATGCTTCCTTGATGCCTTTCCAGTTGTCCTCCATAGTAGTTTCTTCTTCTTTCAGTAGATCTTGTAAGGCTTGGAACCTGTTGTTGAGAGCTATCTTGAATTCATTGAGTTTGTCAGTATCTCGAAGGAAGGCTGTATTGAACCTTTGTATTGCTGTTTGTCCATTTGTCCAGTTCTTTTTTAGCTTCAGTTTTAATTTGGCTACAACTAGGTGGTGATCTGAAGCTACGTCAGCACCTCTCCTGGTTCTCACATCTTCCATTGTCCTTCGGAATTTTTTGTTGATGCAAGTATGATCTATTTGGTTCTCTGTAGTGTGGTCAGGTGAGATCCATGTAGCCTTGTGTATACACTTGTGTAAAAAATATTGTGCCTCCAATGACCAATTTGTTGAATGCACATAGATTTGCAAATCTTTCCCCATTTTCGTTTCTCTCTCCCAGTCCATTCCGTCCCATAATATCTTCATATCCTGTGTCGTCTATTACGACTTTGGTGTTTAGATCTCCCATCAGAATAGTTAGGTTCTTTCTTGGGCATTTCTCAATGATTGACTGCAGCCGCTCGTAGAACTGATCTTTAATGTCGTCGTTGCTATCATTGGTGGGTGCATAACATTGGATAATATTCATTAAGATCCCCTCCTTCTTTGCATTGAATGATTCTGGATCCGTGAGATTCCCATCCTACAAGTGCATTTCGTGCTACTTTGGACAGCATCAGAGCGACTCCCTGAGTGTGTGGAGCATTGTTCTCTTCGTGACCGGAGTATAGCAGCATCTCTCCCGTAGCTAGCCTTTTCTGTCCAGCTTGGGTCCAGTGGGTTTAGCTGATTCCCAGTACTGTCAAGTTGTATCTCCTCATTTCCATTGATATTTGACTGGTCTTCCCGGTTTCCCACATTGTTCGAACTTTCGATGTACCTATTAAAATTTTCGCTCTGGTTGTTAGAAGGGGCATCGGCCTCGTGGCTTCCGAAGGAACTCGGCTTTCACCATGAGGCGTCATAATTCTTCTAAATGAAGACTTTCTAACTCCCAGGGCAGAGTTAAAATGGTTTGGATTATTTTTTCTGGTAAGCGTTTTTTTAGCGAGTTAGTTTTCTACGGGATGTGGACGCTAACCCCATGCCCAACCCTCCTCCTTTAAGGGGGCTTGGGACTGGCAGCAACCCTATAAGAGCTACAGGCGGAGTTGGCCAGCCATTAGTGTGTAGTGACTCACGTTTATCACGAGAACACGACTGGTTTAATAAAAACAATTATTATTACAACCAACTGTACCAGTGTTTGTTTTAATGTGCTTTTGTTTGACTGTGCTAATGACAGCCATTTTCTGCTTCCATTCTTTCGCTTACACTTCGATTGTAACTTCGCGCGAATTCGGTTACCTTCTGTAACCAAGGTTGTATCCTGGCACGATCTCGGTATCCTTTCGATGCCACGAGATCGCCAGCTAATAAACCTCGACTTGGTCCATTAACTGTCTTCTGGTATTCGGCTTCTCGGGGATTTTATGGAGTCATTTGGAACGAGCTTCTTACGCATTCTGATTCGCTTGGCACGTGTTTCTTGGTAGCGGTGTTCATAGTTAATCTCAACTCGACGCCACGCTACAATTGGTAATCCCAATTTGACCACAAGTGACGTATTTCATCGCTCACTTTATGATGGAGTCGTTCTTGGATGCAGATTGTATTTCAGCTGCTGAGACTGGCAAAGCACGAATAGCAGTTGTCAGGTAGCACTGCTCGCGGTCCTCTGTCATTAGGAAGGCACTAACTGCATCTTCGCCGGCCGTATGGTGTTCGCTGGTCGAAAACTCCGTCAGTAGTTTTTTCGAATATGTTTCAGGTTCATGAGATTGTTTCATCAGATGGCATACGGTGCTCAAAGGAACGTTAGCTAAACATAGCCGGTCAAACCAGTCTAATCCAAGCAGATTAAGATCAGCTGGTGTGATGTAACATACACCGGTAAACTTCGAATCGTGAAAAGACACTTTACAATCTAGTTGTCCCAACAAACGTAGGTAATTACCGCATGCAGTTCGAGGTTTTTGTGTTGTTGGAACCATGTGTGGTCTTCCCATTCTGATCCAATATTTTCGTGAGAGAATTGTTACATCAGATGCAGTGTCTATTTGCAATCTAAACGGGTGCCCATTAATATTAAGGGTAATAAATTTCCTCTCAACTGGGGTTGAGTTTCACAGCTCGCTATTAGACTCAACAAATTCGTGTCGGATCTAGGCGTAGGCTTTTTGGTACTTCTGGAGCTGCTCGGCTTCTTTTTTCGACAAAACCCATCTTTATGACCCACCGCATTACATTTCCTGCACCGATGTTGCTTATATGAACAGTATCGAACAAAATGCCATGCACAGCAGTGCCAGCATGGGGCAGGAGGATTTGTTTTTGACCTGAACTAGATGTTGCTGGGGCAGATTTATGCGAGTTGCGTGGTTGTTGGACTACATGAACTTCGGTACGATCTGAACCACCACGCTGGACCATCGTAGTGTCACGCTGTAGATTGATTAGGCGTTGATATTCGTTTGCAATATCATTAAGGGTTAGTTCTGGGTCTTGGTGCAATCGACTTAGCAAACGTGTTCTAATGTCACTGAACTTCTGCGATTGAAGGCTGCAGATGAGAATGAGTGCATTAAATTGGTCTTCAGTAAGCAACTTCAACCGGAAGCGTTCACATTCTCGGTTAACGATACCCACATGTGTGAGAAAATCAGCGTCTTCGTTCATAGTGAGCTTCAAACATCGATAACGCGCATTGAATAGTGAGTTGTTTCCGAATTGTTGGCTCAATGACTGGACAGTGTCCGAGAATGAGCGATCGCGTGGGTTTAGAGGCAGAATTAGGTTGCAATATCTGTCTAGTTCATTAGGACCCAACTTTCGAAGCAGCAAGCGGACCTTCCAAGCATCATCCTGATTAGCAAAGTCGAATTTGAATAAGTCTTCGTAACGTCGAAACCACATATCAAACGTGACATTGGATTCTGGATCGTAATGAAACTCGGAGATACTGTTAGCGATACCATCAACTGATGGTGCAGTAGTAGTAGGATTAGAACTGCTTGGTTGAGTATTAGACGTAAGCTTTGTATCCGCTAACATCTGAATAAGTTTCATTTGCTGCTCGAGTAATAATTCAAGTTTAGAAGGATCCATGTTTCTAAAACCACCGTCGCCGAATTGTTAGGTTTGTTAACCTTGAAGATACTACTGATTCGACTTATTCGGAACGGAACGAAGGCTCAGGATTCAGAGACTCAATAAACTATTCTGGTCCGTTGTCTTCGACTCAGCTAACTCGATCAAGAAGTCTTGGTAAGGCGTAGAAAGTGTATTCTACAAGCAACAGCAGATACCAAGCCAGGTCAGGCAGATCAGATCAAGCATACAAGTCAAGCGTATTTATACAAATATATATCGATTTTGTCATAGGAAATTTTTAAACAATAATCAATGAGTCATCAATTGTCTGCTATTTAAAAATTTAATCGATAAGTTCATCAACTGACTGCCATTCAAATATTTGATCGATATGATAAAATTACAAATATGAATTTTGGGGATATACCGGCCCCAACAAAAGGAACATTCTACAGTTCTATTGAGAAGCCGTGACCAATGGAGTCCAACTGTGCCAAAAGTGGGCTACTCATCGAAGACAATAGAAGGTGGTCGTGCAATATCGCGGATCGATTGAGGTTAGACGTGTACATCACTGGATCCCAGTTTGGTGGCTTAGAGGTTGAATGTCCATATACGAGACCGAAGCTTTCGGGTTCGGTCCCCAGTAACAGTCGTAGATGAGCACTGCCGAGGAGATACATACTAAGGCGCAACGAATTGGAGTCATCAAAATTTTATAGGAAATATTTGACAATATTACTGAGATACTGTAACTAGGGTATCTGGTGTTACATATTCCTTCGGAGTCAGCAGGAAACCGTGGACCTACATTAGGTTTTAGTAGGAACTCATAAGGGGACTGGTACTTATCATGTGATTTGAGTTCACGTCACCAAGCTTCAGTCTGGGATGCCACCATTCACAAGTACCAGCAGAGAATGACCTCCTGTAGGACTGAAATACTGATGTTGACCGATCACTGGGTGCCCACCAATCTTAAGCATGACACTGAACAATATTATAAAACCGTAAACCTTAGGAAATGATAGCTATAGGATTGATTGACCTCGAGTACATTAGCGAAGGTAATGATAAAATAGTAGTGGAAAAGGATGATTTAGAGTAAATTAAACACGACCAAGTTTATAATCAATAGACAAATGTTTTAGAATTTTTGTACGGGGTTAAAACATACGAATAAAATATTTATATATATTCAGACTCGATATTTTAATTATGAAGTAGTGTCGATAATATTGAAATTATCACCTGCATATAAGGTGACTGTATGTCTATTTGGTCGAAATTATTGGTGGTTTGAAATATACAGATACTGTTTACTGTCATTTTTACTAGGAAAGACTGGACTTGAACTGTTATTAACAACCTTCATGAAAGCAACTACAGATTAGACATAACACCTTTGATCTTCAAAACACTAAAAAGCATATGCATTAAATTTATAGAAACAGATGTACAAAGTTTATTTTATTTTGCAATTTTCAAGTCTTTTTTTCCTCTTGTGTTGTTTTTTCTTACGTTTTAAATGTTTCGCAAGTTGATGGTGTTTTACAGGTTGGCCGTTGTTTGTATCAGATTTACATGGTGAATTTGCTATTTTGGGTGAACTGTGTACAGAATTATTAATGACTAACATTTTATCCAAACGAGCTGGTGCTGGTGGAATAGCAATTTGATAATAATTGCAAATTTCTAAAAGCTGTTTACGTTCCTCAGCATTGGCAATAAAACTAACAGCCAAACCAGTACGTCCAAAACGCCCAGAACGACCTATACGATGCAAGTATTCACTGGTATTCATTGGCAAATCAAAATTCACAACTAATCCCACTGTCTGAACATCAATACCTCTAGCCCACATATCACTACTGATTAAAATACGACTGAAATATAAAAAGGATGTAAAAAGAAAATGATAGCATTATATAATGTACAGAAATTGGAAATTATTTGCAAGTAATGTCAATAACAATTAAAAGGAAACTAGCGCGACAGTTTGCGGACTATCAACTGAACAAAACAACGGACTGAAAGAATACCTCTTGAACCATTAACTTAGAAAATCTGATAGAATTTTAACATCATTAATAGTATTTACTTTGGTATAAACTTGACAAATCAATCAATTTACATCATTTCCGAAGTACAGAATCATGTACCCAGCTTTGTGCCACAATTCCTTTACGCAGAAGTTAGTGGGATAAATCAACCATTTAGACCAAAGTGGAGCTTGAACTTAATTCCGTCGAACGTCCGACAAAAATAACCCAGTTACTTTTTTACTAAAGCTTTTTGATGACAACTTTTATCAGTATAGGGGGTTAGTGGAGATTGTTAAATCTCATAATCTACATTATGAACTAACTTTAATCGCCACAAGAAACCGGGAAACACTGGACAGCTATTTCGCCCTACCATGGGACTCTTCAACAACTTGGAATCCTGAAGGGAAGCGGAAACGAGGAAGGCCAAAGAACACATTACGTCGGATAATAGAAGCAGATATGAAAAGGATGAATTACAACTGGAAGGAGCTGGAAAGGATTGCCCAGGACAGGGTTGGATGGAGAATGCTGGTGAGCGACCTATGCTCCTTCACGAGGAGTAACAGGTGTAAGTAAGTAAGTAAGTAAGTAATGGGACTCTTCAGAAATGTTCCCCGACAACTCTGATGAAGATCGAACTCAAAGGTTTTAGGCCTCAAAGCGAGCGACCCAGTGGTCTTGAGATATGTGCTCGCCCAGATACATGAAAACCGTGGGTTCGATCCTCAGTAGGGACTTAGATGCAGACTGTTGAGGAGTTCTGTACTATGACGAAACAGCTGTTCAATGTCTACTGGTTTCTAATAGTTGTTTGACTAAGATTAGGTCGTGATGTAAACTATAAAATAACAACTTTCAGTTTGAACTAACATGTGAATAATAGTATGGTGGATAATATATACTTCGTTAATATGAATGATCAGTTCGTTGAAATAATGACAACAGATTGACTTTTACGGAAATTTTGGAGTCATTTAATATCTAGTTTTACGACATGAAAAGTGAGTTATTATGTAAAAAAAATTCCAGTATGTTTGAGAGCATTTAATTTGGTTACTATCATGAATAGTGGAAACGGTGGACGGGAAAGTTGATTTGTGATTTTAGTTAAAACATTATACAGTATACCTCTGGGAAATAAAAAAGTGAAACACATTTATGCATTTCGTAAAAAGGCAAACATTTTAAAGAAAGAGTAGCCAAAGTTAATTTAGAATTATTAACGATATTAATAGAATGATGGTATTGACAATAATGCATACAGGTACATGAGCTTTAACCACTGCATGAAGAAACTAATCACTAAACACCTGATAAATTCAGTGGGATTTGAAATTCGAGAACCAAGCTAACAAGTTAGAAGGCTTTCTTCTTTTTACATAAATCTTCTATTATGACAGTATCTACGAAGAAAAACAAGAAAATTACCATTCGCCAGAACGAAATTGTTTCATAACTGACTCTCGTTGGCTTTGATCAAGATCACCGTGAGCAGCAGCCACTGTAAAACCTTCTCGTTTCAACTGACTTGCAAGCCACTCAACTTTTCGTCGAGTATTAACAAAGACAACAGTTTGTGAAACACAAACACTGGAAAATAAATCATTTAACGCTTCGAATTTCCATTCCTCTGAGCCAACATCGATGTAGAATTGTTGAAGATCAGAAAGACTAAGTTCGTCTCTATAGATGAAATTTAAGACAAATTAGTGGAATCAACAGGTACTGAAAAGGTCAGTTAGTATAGTGAAAATTTACCAAATGAAGCTACCTGGAGTGTGAAATCCTTAAATATACTATTTTGGAAGAAATCAAGTGTAAGATTATGTACCGTTTTAAGAGGGATTACTGTTACTTTGACTTTTGTATTAAATTTGTGTGACAATTTAACAGTCAGTAACTTTAATCTGTGTACAATGAAATCAACTTCAACATGAATTAATCCTCGTTGACCTCTACTGAATAAGTATTCCTTACAAGATTTACCTTTTAGAGTAGTCCAGATTGCAAAAAGAGCTATGGTATACTGGTATCAAACTGTAACTACCAATTATTGCTATTATCACAGATATCATAAATAAGTGAATGAAATGATATGAATCCCCACTAATTAATAGGATCAACCAAGTAGTATAACTTTTAATGATATTACGATTAAATCATCTAATTTGTTGATATCGCAAGATCACGGATTGATTGAAGTTAGACATTAACAAACAGGTCCTGGGTCCGAGCCCCGCATGCAGGAGTCTCACATTAGGACGAAACAGCGTTCAGTGTCTCCAAGTTTTAAATGGTGGTCTAGCTCAGATTGACTGATTTCAACTGTGAAAATATCTATATTTATTTCGACTATTAATGTTGCAACATTATTTAACTGTTAACTTTTACACCTAATTCAACATAAAAAACCAAGAAACACTACTGGATTTCAAAGATAAACTGGAACTCAACGGCAACTACATCACAACCTATACTATGTTATGCAACTAAATTTATTCTATTTTCATTTACGCTTAGAAAACTGTAGTTTTGTTTTATCATAAAAGTATATCACACGAAAGTTTCGTTTTTTAAAGATAAAAAGTGAAAAGAGAGAATTATATGTAATCATGCACTACTGTTTTGGATCTGTTCACTTTTATACAATTCTACAGAACCCGTTTTTTTTCTAATCTCATGTTAAATCAATGATTCTAATATTTATTGCAAGTTAAATGCCTATATAGTTAGTGAAATTTGTAAAAATATTAACTATAGATGAATAAATGAAATTAAACATATAATTGATATAAAAGAAAAAAATGAAAGCCAGAACAATTTCTATTTATTTCAAAGGTGGTAGACGTCCAAAAGGTAGGAATACGATTGCTTTATTGATTTTTTGAGGAACTAAAATAAGAAGTAATTATGCAAAAGCATCACAATTGCTAAATCATCATAATAATAATAGTAATAAAAATTATAATATAATTTACCTCGGTACAAGAACACAAACAGGATTAGATGTGAAATTTTGAAACAATTCTAAATGCTCTTTAAGCATTGTAGCTGAGATGATAACAATTTGACAACTGAGAGACTTTTTGTTATTCGAATTAGTATGAGATGGGAGGCGGCGATATATCTCCTCTAACTGATCGTGTAATCCTCTATTTAACATTTCATCAGCTTCATCCAAAACCAAAGAACGTAGTTTATTTAAACGTATGTTACCTTGTCGAAGAAGCTCTAAGAAGCAAAAATCAGTGGAATTGGGTAATGAGCGTTAACCAGATGATGACTAATCTCAAAAAAGAATATTAAAATGGGGATATGTTACTGTGAGAAGTTTAACAGCTGTGAAAATAATTAGCATACTTACTACATATCCATTTTTATAAACAATTTAAAAATAATATCTCTTACAGAAAAGTAGTAACTTTCATAATTGCAGGCACAATCAAACTTCTAATGTAGCATCAATAATTACATCTTAGTAAGAATGTGAATTTTGTACAGACCTCAGATTCTATGTTGTTTTATTTACTTGATAATACTCTGAATATATATGCATACAAAATACTCTACAAGTGGAAGAGTCACTGGGCACTTAGCTTCCAATCAGTATGTAGTAGTTTCGAATCCAGCAATTCCTCTTACTTCGAGTTTGAATAGCCGAGTAGTTTCATTCGACCAAACATAGTGTAACTTGTACTTGATAAACGGGTTACTTTAAACAAGAAAATGAGACGGTTGCAGTTTGCCTACTAATTGAATTAATTCTGCTTTGCGTGGTTGGTTGATTATTTACGTAGTGACTGATTCAAGCTTTTCACGTGAAAACAATGAACAGGAGATAAGATAACGTAGCTTGAAAAGACAAATAAATTGACTCGAAATCAATTAATAGTTTGATAAGTTTATTTTGGATAGAAATTACCAAAACGAACGTCTATCGCAAAAACTAACTGAAAACTACGTAGTGATGGACCGTTGTTTCATTTTATTTTTAAAATAAACCATAAAATGGATTAACATAAATGTTAGAATGATTATAAGCGTGTCTAAGGGAACACTAAAGTTACATACTATACTATTTGAAAATGGATATTTTTTATTTGGAACACCCTACTTGTCTTGTTATGTAAGCAAGCCTAAGGGAAATTTTAGAAGTAGTAATTCAGCTATGATGTAAGTAAATTTCAAGAACACTAAACTAAATAATTTACCCAATATTCGACCTGGAGTACCAACGACAACATGCACTCCCTTATCAAGTTCGCGAGCCATTTGCATAGTATTGTTTCGCCCACCACAACAGGAGACACATCTGATAGACAAGTAATCAGACAATGATGACATAACCTAAAAGCATAAGATAATAAATACTTCATGATTACAATAATGGTCTATTCTGATTAGCTGAAGATAGACTCGATTATTCAAATATACAGTCAATAGCTTAATGACTATCAATCGAATAAAGCAGTAGCGGACTGCAAAGATAAACCTTGGATTAGTAATCTGAAAATGTGATAAACTTAAAACGTCATGTGTAACATTTACTGTGGTATAAAAACTTGGCAGACTCATCAATGTATTTTATTTACCAAGTTTATTTATTTAAACACATAAACATTGGTACAAGGAGGCACCAAAACATATGAACCACAAAAATCATTCGATTTGTATGAGGGCTGTGATACTGCCCAGGTGCCCAAACCGAAGCAGGTGGTTTTCTTAGGGGGTCACACCACGAGCCTTTAACCTAAAGGTCTAACCCATAAGGCAGTGGAGCAATGTCAGGAGATGCAGTCTCATGGTAGTCGGCGACCAATAATTGTTTCATACGCCATTTGTTCTCTCAGGATCCTGGAGCCCATATGCACCATTGGTTTGTAATCAGAGTATTCCAATTTCCCTACGTCGATCCTCCATATCCACCTATCCGGTTAAAGCTTCGGATATTAGCTTTTCATCCTCTCAATTTCGTAAACAACACCCCCGCCGCGAGAAGGCAGTGAATAGAACTTCCCTGGTAGAAGCTGCATACGCTTGGCCATGTGAGAGCATTTCGTGAGGGGGAGCTGACTCTCCCCATCCTCGGTCGTACAAGGACATTTGGGGGCGATATAATGTATTCAGCTTTGAGCAATACTTTGTTTTAGATACAGTGACACTACCTAGTTGTCTAGTGTTCTAAACTGTGACCAAGTAGTTGGAAGCCAAATGCTTCAACCAACAAGATAAATTAATTTCACAAACTATAATAGCCGAAACTCGCTGTAACATTTCCCACTCAGTGACTTAGATCCAACGTAGGACCAGGCACATATATGCACCAGTCTAGGTTGCCATACCTTATTAGCACAAGATGAACACCGAATTCATAGTTAATTCAATAGTGATAATATATAAAAGAAAGATTGCATATAGGGATAAAGTACAGGAAGAAAGATATAAAGCAATTTTAATCTCACGGTTTAAGTGTATACACCTACGCCATTGCGATCGATTTTGAGCCATGTCACCCAGAGTTTCCAACTATTGGTTACTCTTACTACCTCTACCACTACGAGATTTGAATGGATAACTGCATCTCTGTGCTAAAGTGGTATGGCAAATCGAACTGACGTACGTACGTATGAAGTTCTACGTTCTTACTGACTGACTGACAACCATGTAGTCCCCATATACCAACATGGCCAAGACTAAAAGTTAGCGACTTCAAGCACTGATGTCGCGTTTGGTTTGACAGTCTCTAACTGTCTTCCAACCGTCTCCAACACTAGTCAGCATTGCGCGTCGTGGTAATCGGTGTTCAAGCATACGCAACACGTGGTCCAACCATCTCAGTCGGTGAAGATCCACAACCTCATCAACTGACTTACCACCATTCCATAATACCCCGCGTCTAACCTCACTATTACTTACCCGGTGATCACAGCAGACACGAGCCATATTTCTAGGGTAACTGTAGTAGCTTAAGAGTATCTCCTCTTAATGGCCGTTTCGCAGCCGTAAAGTAAAACAGAACGAACTTCTGCGCAGTATACTCGTTCCTTAATTGACAGACGGATATCTCACCTTCGCCATAGATGACGTAAGTTGGCAAAAGCCAAACGACCTTTTCGTCAGACACCAACCTATTAAGGCTGATCAGACTTCCAAGATAAGTGAAGTTGTCAACGCGTTCGACTACTTCATTCCCTATTCTTAGTTCACGTGTTGACACAGACCAGTCCTCGAGTAACAACTTGCATTTGGAGGGGGAGAAACTCACCTCAAACATCCTGGTATTTTTCACTACGTTCTATTTTGTAGATAAAATCCGTGTTGTTTTTTCTACAGTTAAACTAAGGATACAATATACTCTTTGGTAAAAAATAGCATTGACTGTTCCTAACCGGAAATATCTAACCAAAATAACTGGAAGAATTCTTGGATCGCTTGACAAAAGGCGATTTTGTCTAAAGTTGGCTTATTGATGTAATTTGGGTAGAATAAACAAGTAGTGTGTGAAAGTCTAGTAATTTATACGCTGAAATAAATGGGGACGCTTCTCCACTTGATAACGTTATAGTATCTCAGCTGGGTTTATTATGCTGAAAGTAAGTGGAATTGATAAGTGACAATTTAGTTTAGGCTATAAGCAGTGGGAGCTTCTACTGAACTCGGTGAAGTTTCGACGTAAAAATGACAATATGGGTACTAATGGTATGTAAAATAACGTGCCGATTATAATGTTCCGATCGGCGTTAATGCCACTCATACTGGAAACTCTACAAAATTTGTGCGGGAGTAACAGGGTATGACAGACTGAGCGTAAAACTAAAATGAGAAGATAGTTTAGTTTGATTGATTACATGAGTTATTCCGGTTTAGATACAAACATCCGTGGAAAAATTTGACGCAAATTAGATAATTCACGATAAGCTAAATGATACATTGGAACCTACATTGTTGGTCACAAGTGAATATATTCTTATAGTATGGAGTAATTCAGAAGTGCAAACCAACCAGTTTTCAAGATGAGAATCAACAGTGTCATATTCATTGTTGTTGTATGGTTAGTTACCTCCAACTAGCTTCAATGACATTCTGTTAAGATATTTAACAAGTATCACTGGGATGTAGTCTAAAATTACGTATGGATAAATAGGCTCTAATAAGAATATGAAAATACAGTTATGTGTTTACTTTGCTAGACTTAAGTAACAGATTAATGTAGGACTGTAAGATCATAATGATGATCCTTCTTTTATCGCCCGTCATTCAATAATAAGCGAGAATTTTGGTAAATTAGCTACTGAAACTAAAGAATTTTAATTTATTCATACACTGTCATTAAAAAACCATTGTTTGTTAAAACTTTCGAATTAGTGGCAGAAAAAACTTATTTATATGGTTCAAGATTTCAGCTGAAAATCTCTGGGTTTTTTTAAAGGGGATAGTACTTTCTATTGAGTTGTTAAGAATCAGATGATAATTTCGACAGTTGCTTCGTTTTCATTATCATATTTCGTTTTATCATATCGGAAAATAGTGAAATACAGACAGAAACATACATGATGTATTTGGAAAGCCAATTCGCGTGTGGGTGCCAAGACTAGCACTTGAATTTGACAGATCTCGGGGAGAACGTTTTGCAAAGTTCCTATGCTAAATGTTGCAGTTTTTCCAGTCCCACTTTGAGCTCTGAAATTCAAAAGTAACTTCTGTTCTATGTATTGTAAATGTGCTGAACTTACTGTGCAATTAAATCTCTCCCTAAAGTTATTTGTTTGATAGTTTTCTGTTGAATAAGAGAGGGTTTTTCAAATCCTACAGAAGAATTACATGAACTAATGCAACAAACCGTAGGCATAAATCCCCTTTAAAAGGTTTTCTTTTAACCCCATAGAAGCAAACGTTGGATAAGATTTCAGTGATTCGGATAAATTGAAGTCACTTTCGGATAACGTATCCATTCCCCAAAATCCGTTGATCTGAGAGTAGGTCGTAAATACTCCCGACAAACAATGTGCCTAACCAAATGTAGAAAATAATCGATTATGTTGGTTACATAAATGGTAGCTACAGCGTGTATCATCTGATATTAAAACAGAAAGGTTTTTATAGGTGCTACAGATAACAAATAATGCTTAATCACACAATACATCTTCACTTTAATCCCACCTATTTATTGAGGTTATAAGAGTGAACTTTGAACCATAGCCGGATAATAACTGATTGATTAGAGCACTCAACTTTCAACCACTTTCCTTTTTAACAAAGGGTTAGTAGAATAAGTATGGTTTCATTTCACCATATTAGTCAGTAAATAATTACCTAGTTAAAATTGGTATTGACAGAAAATGAAATTGCCTTACAAAATAAAATTGCAGCTACTAGGCTAGTGAAAGAATTGTGCTTCCTTTTTTGTATACAAAAGTTAGTCTAAAGGAGTATAATAGAAGTTCCTCTAGTGAAAAAAAGAACATGATCATTTTCGCAACTTTATTAGCTATTTAAAAGTGAACTGTGAGTTTAAGTATTGGATAAAATATCAAATAGCCGCAGATTTTATTTCATAAAATTGAACTGATACCAAAGGCCATTCCTACAAAGGTAGCTGGGAAATAGCATCCAGAAAAGGCTGTTTACTTGAACGATTACTTCTTACTGAACCTGGCACCAGATATGCTGACAATTGTTAAGTGGCAATACATCGCCGGGGGGTAACTGGAAACTCGAAAATAAAAACCTAGTCACGATCACGTGGTCTAAATTACTAGTTTCAGCCGCGCTATTGGGTTTTCCAAAGCTGTTGAAAACACCTTATGGGGTAAAGTCTAATTTATAGTTCTCCCTAATTGTTAGTGAGATAGATACATGACAGGTGTAAGAAGAGTCTAAACTAAAATTATAATACTATAACTGGTTCATTTATAACCATTTAATGGGAACGTGCGAGTCGAGATATCGTAAGTTCTTCATGTAAATTTAACATAAACTCTAATATGTTAGACAAGTGAAAGTAGTCTAAATTTCTTACCAACTGTCTATGACCACTTAACATCAAAACCGATGTACACAAACCAAGCCACTTAAACTAGTGATTCCATTGGAATTTCATCGACAGAATACATGTGTAACGTATGCTCAACCACCGTTTATCTTGACGGGGGATGCTTTCTTGTGTAGGAGTAGGCTGGAAGAAAACCAGGAGCGGGTTAACCAAAAACATGTCATCAGTCCATGAAGTCACTGACAATTGGACTTAGTCATGTTAGTAGGTGCAAACTACCTGATTAGGGTCCATATGAATATCAGAACCAATAATTAGAGACTTTGAATAACATGGCTCGAAATCGTTCCCGATGGCCCAGGTGAATCAGTTCTTTATCTTCCCCCAAATTCTGAAGTTCTAAATTCCTAATGACTTTTTCTCTCTCTCCATCAACAATGTTGATTATGAAGAAGCATATGACAACGAGGATGAGAAAACCTTGTGGAATATTATTCGACACTATGAAATACTCGAGATCGTTACTATTACACAGAACTCCTACTTTCGACTGCATTGCGAAGTTCCGTATGAAGGGTAGCTGACGAAAGCATTCCAAGTGAGGGATGGTGCAAGACAAAGGTACATACCTAGTCGGTATCATCGATAAACAACGAGGGTCTGAAGCAGATGTGGAGCATGCTCCACCACTATGCATAGTGGTAACTATTGATTAGTAATAAGAATCCAGATGATTGACATGTGCAGGCTTGTTAATTATTTTCATCACTTATAACTTCACTACATTTCTTTGTCATATTTAGTTTTCTACTGAAACAATTTCTTTGAACTGAAATCAGCTGAAGGTCGTTTGTGCATTTCTACCTCGACCATCAAGTAGACAGAGGAAAACAGGACAAAAACATTAAAAGACACTAGACAAATACACTCAAGTTTAAAATGAGAAATTCGCAAAAGACTGGAACTCAAAAAACAAAATACACAATACCTTTAACTTGAGAATCTATTACCAATCACAACTTTGTTGAGTTAAGTTTGAATGGCTGGCTCGTCTTAAATATTCAATGTATTTACGACAAGTTGGTACCAACATACGATAAAAATGTCACGAACTTGTATAAACCGATTAATTTATTTGCGCTCGCCTCTCGTTTTGATACGGTTTCAGGTATTTGGTAATGTCCAATGAGTAGTTCTCTAGCCACTTGACTGCACTAATTCTAATCAATTTAATAGTTATTTGTGTATTTATATATCTTGCAGTTTGAGTGGGTGCATTTGTCTAAGGGTAGTAGGTTTCTGGAGACCAGCAGCTATCACAAAACCAGACAGGAGGTCGGTGGATAGCAATGCGAAAAACAATTGATAAAAAATTTGAATGCTGAGTGAAGACATTTGTTTCAAGAAAAAAATAAACAAGTTGGCAATGCAAACGGTGTGGGGAGATCGAAATGTAGGAATTAAAGGGGAAATGGAGATGATGATAAGTGATCTAGGGACAAGTAAATGATATGTGACACGGACAACAGTAAGTAAGTTATGAGACATCCATCAGACACAGCCGGTTCAAGTGAAATATGTTAATTTGTGGGTGGGTGCGTGTTCTTCAAGTGTCCTCTTGAAGTTGTCTCCTAGGAGGAGGGCTGGTAGCACTACAACATTGTGAACATTACAGTCGGGCTGTGCGCATGTTTTGATGAGATTTAGGGGCGATTCTGGGATGATTGCGTGAAGTTTCCTCCACATAAAGTGAAGGGTTGCATTCGCCTTGACCTCATCTCCTGTTAGTTGTGTCCATAACTAAACAATCAGATCGTTGCTTAAACGCCCACCACGTCAATCTGGTCTGACGTATCTGTAGCCTGTCTTTGTCACACTTGACCTACCAACTCAAAAACATTATTGTCCTATCATATCAGCGTGACTCATGATTTTTGTTCATTTCGACAAGACACGCAATACTAGTCGGTGTGTTTGTGCGTTCCTCGTAATTACTATAATTCCTTCAGTTATTGTACTAACCGAATTGTTTTTAAGTTTAGAAACATAAAGTTCAAAGCCAAGTTCTTATTGTTCTAACTATAGCTTTCACATAGACTCTGGGTCGTCAGTATCGTGTTTACAGTTCTAGTAGTATATCTGTAAGATGAATTAAATCCTATATCCCCTATGTAATTTGAGCTGATTTCTAATATTTCTGTGGTCATTAGCTCGAGATCGCGCTCTGAGGAGACAGTCGGAAGCGGATTTCCATAGAGGGTGCAAATGTTTGGTACCAGATGAGACAGAATGTTCATGACTCGGTATTTCGGTAGACCAACTTTTAATCTATTGTCTACTGCACATTCCCAAGGTGCTGTAAGACCCTTTTGAAGCTCAAGTGAATCCTTTTCGTTTTTTATGGACTTCCAGATCTTTGCATTATGTTCGCTGACCGATATCGCCGAGCTAATTGTGTCTGTCTGATTGTTAATAAAGATCGGAGACAGGAGTTTACCTAAGTTTATCCCTTGTGAAACTCCTGATATTTAGACTCCCCAACTCACGTGCACTTTATTTGTCTCAGTGCGAAACATACCGTTCATCAGGTAGCTTCGGAGCTAAAATAGAATTGGGTCAGTGAATCTCATCTTTTAAATTGCCTTTATGAGAATTGCTTGGGTATTTTGCTTGCTGTTCTTCCGAAGCCAAGGTCTATTGAAAGAACTGACATATTTTGATTCTAGAAGGTTTTTCAGCATTTGACGATTTCTCGGCATTCATTATCTTTATTTTTACAGTGCAAACTCATCCATACTTTCAAAATTAAGTCTTCTGGCGGGTGTTGAAAAGGATTTTTGTTAAAGCTACAAGTAGTATGAAAGACCTTTCAAAGTACGTTTATCTGGAGGGACGCACTGAATGTTGTATTAGACCTTCGTTTTAATATTAGGAGAATGCTTTCAGGTGTGAGCAGTCAGTACGGTTAGAAGGTTTATATTTAGCGAAGAATTAAGGAGCGGTAGCTGCTAAAATTAGTTAGTGGAATATTATGCTTCTTGTTGTTATGATGTAATTACATGGTCACTATGATTATACCCACATAAATACCTTTTATAATAGGCTTTTGATTAACCCATCAAGTATCATTGTGTGGCATATCATTCCTGATATGTGGCCAGTTTATTATCCATTGTTCCCCTTGGTTACAGTCATTTTTAGGTCTGATCGTATATTGTTGTTATTTTTTCACTTTATAGTGTGATATTATTGGGAATGTCTGTAAGTAGACTATGTATGCTTGAAATATAATATTCGCATAGTGTAGGCTGCTTGCTCTGTTCTTGAATTAACAGAAAAGGGTAGTAGCCACCAAGTTGAAGACCAATAGCAGCTCAGTGTTGACTCAAATTTATTGATGATGAAACAGATTCCGATAAGTCACAAGAAAGGGGTCTTAAAAAGTCATTAACTAGTATGTGTGACTGAGGTATCTGGAGTAAGAATCTTTTGTGAAGTCGATCTTTGGATAAGTATTAAAAAATAAATAAACCATCGCCTTCTAACCAATGGCTATCACGTATGACCTGAATTTATCAGCAACAAAAGCTTACGCAGGATTATCTCATCACTATCTTAGTATAGAAAAAGCAACTGTAAATCAGTGCAATTCAAGTATGAAACAAAATAGGCCGATCGGTTGGTCTGACTGATAAATTCTGAAAAACTTCAATCTCGGACCAAAATGGTCGGTCTGCCATCTATTTTACTTATGGGTGTAAGTTTAGGTAACAAATTGAGTAATTCATTGACTTATTACTGGTTCCCAGCATTGAAACTACTGTTATGAATAAAATAAACACATATAATCATGTAGAACCTCATATCACCTATCAATTTCGTCATAACTTCGGACTACAGAAAAAAATAGAGTAGTTTCAAATGGCATATTTACAAGAAATGTTGGTGGTTCAATTCACACATAAAATGTAAGGAATGTTAAAAGCAAAAACCTTCAACGTAGGAACAATACTTCAAGTGATATGTACTAACAAATCTTCCCTTTGATGATACCGTAGTTCTACTACTTGGTTTAGTAATTTACTACAGAATGTTTACATAAGCGTTTTTTCTGTGAAAATCAAGGCTTGCAGGTTAACATTAACTCCAGCGCTCATTTTCAACGAATCCCATTAATTCTATCATAACACATGAAATCTATGGAAATACCTTGATCTAGTTTTTGAGTTATGTCGACCAATAAATCCCTAAAGTAAATAGTCCTGTGTGTCTTCGACATCAATTCTGACCTAATGGGTTGTACTGGACACATCTTGGCTGGAGGTGTCTGGTGAATCAGTTTCACCAGATCACCATTCCGTACTACCCACTCCTCTCAAAAGGTAGTCAGCTCATATATATATATAATATCCGGACCTGGCGTAGAAACTTTCACTTATTTGGTGATGGTTGCAGTAGTTTTTTAAGTTTCAGTTCCATACAAGAGGATTGACTTGACGTTCGTATTAGAGATTCTGACTTCGATGTTTGCTGATAGTTGCTTTGTGCTCTATATGTCTTTCACTCATAAGAATGCTGTCGTTTCAGCTTCACTACCAAGTGTGATTTGGTTGATGCTCTCCGTGCTGCATTTCAGGATCTTGCCCTTTCCGTTGTGCATGTTGACGCCTAGTGATTCAGAGGCTGCTACTACACTCGTTATTTGCTACTCAACCATGTGGAACAGACTGCCAGTGAATCTCCGTTGCAGTGAAACTACAACCCGGTTCAGAAGTCTCCTTGATGATTTTCTTTCTGAAAGTAGATTGTGTCACCTATTAAATATCATTGTATTTAGTAATGATTCTTAAGATTACGAGGTTTGTAAGTAAGACAATAACTTGTGTTACACTTAAATTAACTTCTCAGACTTTTTTATCTTCACTATGTATATATGACTAATACATTTTGATATTTGGTTATCCTTTTCACTCAGTTGTGACTTTCATAACATCACTCCAAACACTTATTCTAGAGTCATATCTTACTGCAATAATAAGTTGTTTTTTCTCGATTATTTTCTATTCTAATTTGACGATACATACATAGTCGTTTATTCTTTTTCTGTGTTCATAAACACTCTTATTAAACTACTTGCGTATTTCACATATCCATTACCTCTATTGCCTTGTTTTCTCCCTTTCCTTCTTCAAGCTCCATTCAGTATTCTTCTCAATTTCACAGACACTGATTTATTATTATGATTATTCTATCATTATTACTCTCTTTTGCAAATATGACGAATATAATTCTGGCATTATTGAAACTTGTGTATTATTGCGTTTTGGAAGAAACTCAAAGTGGTTTCTTCACAACACTTATGTACCCATAAGATTGTAGTGACTCACTTTTATCACGAGAACACGACTGGTTTAATAAAAACAATTATTATTATAACCAACTGTACCAGTGCTTGTTCTAATGTGCTTTTGTTTGACTGCGCTAATGAGAGCTATATTGTGTTTCCATTCTTATTCACACACTTTGATTGTGGCTTCGCGCGAATTCGGTTACGTTCTATAACCAAGCTTGCATCCTGGCACGATCTCGGTATCTTTTCGATACCACGAGATCGCCAGCAAATATATCTCGACTTGGTCCATTAACTGCCTTCTGATATTTGGCTTCTCGGGGATTTTATGGATTTATTTGGTTACGTTCAAACTTCGCCTTCTGATTTACTTGGCACGTGTTTCTCTGTAGCGGTGTTCATAGTCAACCGCGACTCGACACCACGCTACAAGATGTCTGTGAATAATAATAATAATAATTTGCATTTGTTTGAATGTATGGAATTGGAAACTTAGGTCATCTGCGAAGTCTAAATCATCGTCTTGCATTCAACCTGTCCATTTCATCCCGTGTTTCCCCTCAGATATCGATGTCCTCATAATCCAGTCAACCACCAGAAGAAAGAGAAAAACGGAGAGTAAGCAGCCTCGCCCGACTCCAGTCCTCACTTGGAATGCATCTGTCAGCTGTCCTACATGCAAGACTTTGCAATGTAGT